GCCACGTGAGGGGAGACCCAGCCACCAGGCGCTCACATTCGAGCCCCAACCCCGGGCCTGGCTCCAGGGTGGGGCCCTGGCTGCGCCATTGCGGGGAACGTCACGGTCCTTGATTTTAATCTATTCATAAAGGGCTTTTGAACCACTCTTAGTCTGACCCGTCACCCAGGACCTGTTTGGGAGACCCTACCAGGGACATATAACCCCCGACAACATAGCTTCTAGGATCACTCGGGTACTCAAACCCCTCCACCACAATCAGGTGGCGGTTCAAGGAGGGGACACTTAAGTCAGTATTAACCTAAATGAAACAGCATGAAATGCCGTTACAGAAGAAATAATTGCTCTCCTTAAAGGTGACTCATTTTACAAATTTGAGTATTGAACAGCTTAAGTTGAATTATAATACTACAAAGATAAGATAGAAGTAAGATGAAACAAGGCTTAAAAAGTTAAGTCCTTGCTGCTATCAGCTGTAACTCAAACTTAGTTGGAAGTTTACTCATCATTTGGCATTTTATTAGACTGATAAAAACTAAAACAAGCTGCCTTATTTATCCCTAAACCTCTAAGTGGATTCCTCTGTTCTTACCCTCTCTTGCCACAGCTGAGCTTCTGTTCTTGTGCTGGGGAAGCTCGCTGTGGACTGCTGTCAGGCCGGTCCCCTCAGCCTTCCATGAACCTCGTTACATGGGTATCGCCATCCACAACGAGCTGCTTCTCTCCTCCATGTTCCACCTGTTCCGGTAAACAGCCGTAGCAATGCATTTACAACACATACTCCACATTACAAACACAGCACACCGGTGTGAGATGATTTGGTGTTTTTGGACTCCCTCAGGTTTACCTTTCCCTCTCTCCATCCTGATTGGATGTTGCTGCTCTCCTTCACGCACACCCACGTGACCATCACGGTGACACTCGCCCTGCTCTTCATTCCCAAGGTATCAGCATTTTTATGTGTTTATGCAAAAGTGTGTCAGTTTTGGGGTAGAACAGGGGCAAAGTAGAAGGACGCTTGTCTTGGCATCTCAGATCCAGCTTGCCAACACAGCGTCAAACTTGTTGGCCTCAGCTGTTCCAGGGCTCTGCAGTGCCAGCAAACTAAATGTCAGCATTTGCTTCAGTTAGCATTTAACTCAGCATGGTTAGCAGATAACATTTAGTATTTTTGGACTGTTGACATGCATACCATTAGCATGATAACATGCTAATGTCTGGCATGTTAGTGTCACATGCTAATGTTTAACATGTTGGACAGTACATGTGTAACCGGTCGCCTTTGAGTCTCTAAGCTGTCCTCTTAGTCCCCGCCATCTCGCCTGTCCCTCTGGTAACTGGCCGTGCTGCGTTGTGTTTGCTTGGGACACATGGACCGACACATTTGCTATTCAACGGGGCCCTTTATTGCTGGTCACAGAGGAAAAAAAACATAAAACAGATAGCCTCCAGTGAGTGCTCAGCTCGCTCCTCCTTCCACTCGACACCATGCAGGAAAGAGAAAGGAAGAAATGCGTAGGGTGATAACACACAAACTATTATAAATAACTTTGACATACCTGGTCACAGCGGGAAAAAAAACATAAAACAGATAGCCTCCAGTGAGTGCTCAGCTCGCTCCTAAACAAAAGCACACAACAAGTTTACCCATGCAACCCAGGGTGGACAATAAAAGTAAAATAGTCACAAATGGATGGAGCGCTCACCTCTTTCCACTCGACACCATGCAGGAAAGAGAGCGGAAGAGGTGCGCGACCCCTCTTTATACCCGGCTACCAACAAAGAAAAGCATGACTCAGCTGCAAGCCCTAGTGGAGTGGAGGTATCCCTGACCAGGCATGTGAATTAACTTGCACATGAACCAAAACGTTTTGTGTAATTATTACATCCCGATTACATTCTGTGTAATTATTATACCACGGTTACACATGCATGCCATGAAAAGTCAGTGGCCATACATGCCTTTCCAAGATTTCATGACAATCCATCTCATATTTGTGAAGAACTTTCCCTGTGGACTCAACTGCCAAACCAAAACCCAGCAGATCAACAGATCCCTCACAGTGTGCATAACTACACACAATGGTGTTTTCATATGTGAAATGTACATGCACGCTATAACTTGTATGCTTTTGTGTTCCAGTTTCTTTACGTATCCAAGCCTGTGAGAGAGGAGATCGCAGCCGAAGTGTATGAAGATGAAGTGGACCTGCGGCGCTCTGGCTCGTACCTCAACAGCAGCTTTCACTCTGCTTGGAGTGAGCACAGTGTGGAACCAGATGACTTTCGGGTAAATGCTCTCACCCTCAGAACAATGTTATAACTTTGCATTGGGACATAATTTAGAAAATGTGAAAGAAATTTCAAAGGTCACATTTAAATAAATGTCCCATAAATTTCATTTGTGACCTTCGGTAGACGTGCTTAAACAGGTCCTCAATGTAATTATAATTTAAATAATAATAGTAAATACTCACAATCAGCAGAAGAGTAAACATATGTTGTGACCTTTCTGCAAGCATCCTTTCCTAAACTGTGCTTGTCTTACATGACTTATTTTTCATATCTTTTCCTCCTTTATTTCAACCACCTCCTCAATCCTTTCATCAATTCCCTCCTTTCTTCATATGCACCAGGATGAACTGAAGAAGTTATATGCCCAGTTAGAAGTCCACAAGACAAAGAAGATGGCTGCAAACAACCCTCATCTGTCAAAGAAGCGAAGTTCTCGATGTGCATTGGGGAGATCAATTATCAAACGCATTGCTGAGATCCCAGAATCCATGAGCCGACAGTGTAGCCGTGAGGAGAAAGATGGATCCTTGCACAGTAGAAGTATAAATCAGTCTGACTCTTTTAAGAGAGCCCCAGATAATTTCAGTATCAGTAACAAAAACTCAATGAAATCACCATCACCATCCATGCACAAGTCCAAAAGTGATCATCACTATGTCAGGGAAAGTGCTGGGGGTGCAGGGAAAGAAGGGATTGTAAAGAGATCCTCTCAGAGATCTGAAACAGACTCCCTGGATATTCCATCAAGGGTATGCAAGTCATCCAGTGCCCAAAATCTGACAGTTGACACCAATCTCCTGCATCCAGATCACACTAGGCTTCATAAGTCTTGGAGTCTAACTTCCAATTCAACCCATTCTATGGAGAATATACCCAAGATTAACAGAGCCAGCACATTGCTGACAAGGTCCAGGCAGAGCATTTCCATTAGTGACCAAACCAGAAGTGCTCTCCAGTCAGAGCCATTTGACAAGGCTGAGATCTGTCCTTGGGAGGTGGAGAAAGAGCCATCAGGGGACAAGAACCAGAAGCACGTCACTTACGCAAACTCGGAAGATGGTGAGCAAAAAAAGCCACTATCTCCATTGGCACTTATCTGTCCGTGGGACCATTTACCACCTGAAGAAACAAAGGACAAAGGAGTACAAGGTGAAACCGAGTTGCCCAAAGCCCAGGCTCCGGTCTCTGCTAGTGCACCAGGCTCTCCAAGGCCAAAGATCACCAAAGATCAGCATGTCTTCTCTTACCGTAGTACCACCAGTAAGTGGGTTGCTGTGAAATCAATTATTGGATCCATGGATGCAGGAAGCAGATCTAGTAAAGATGGAAATTTAAATAAAAAAGATTCCGTTTCACAAAAAGGTCAGGAAAGTTCTACCACAACACAAAGATCAGTAACATCTAGTAGACGTCCAAGCATGGATAGGAGGTCTATACAAAAAAGAAGTCTGACAACAGCAGACGGAAAACCATGCCTTGTAAAGCAGAATGCAATTAGACTGTCCTCTGGGGATTCCTCCGACAGAAGCCCAAGAAAGCTTGTGGTTGTAAAATCTGCCATCTGCCCATGGGACATGGACGATACGCAAAAAGACAGCACTTATGATAGCGTGTTTTTATCCAGGCAGAACAGCAAACATAGTAGTATAAGCTCTTGGGAAACTGCCAGCAGCTCCAGAACTCCGTCAACTCACAGAAGAGGTAGTAATCGAGTTACACCAGTCTGTAATGCTTCTTATGCAGATGTGTGTCCATGGGATGGAGCTGATACTTTCCAGCAAGAAGCGGGATCAAAACAGGAGCAGCCCATTAAAGCAGATGTCTGCCCATGGGAATCCCAGGTATATGAACGATCAAATGTATGTCCATGGGAATCTCAAGAGCAAGGATATGTGAGAAGACAAGGAAGTGGTCGCGGTGAAGTACGTCCTTGGGAATTGCAAGATATTCCGGTTAATTCTCACACTAACCTGTCCAAAGATTCACAGACACAACAGTCTTTGAAATGTGCAGCAGATGTATGTCCCTGGGAGACCACAGAAACTCCCCAACCTTCAATAAGCCTAGATAATGAATATGCTAGTGTTTGTCTTTGGGATGTTCAGGACAAGGCTGAAGTTGTATATGAAAACCTGAATCCTTTGGAGAGCAAGGAAACACTAACGGTGCCCCTTGGACAAGAATTTATGAAACCTGCCATCTATCCTGGTGCATCAAAAGAACTTTTAGGTAATGAGCAACAGTACCATGCAAAATCACCTGTCCTGAATTGGGGTAAACAAGTTCCCAAGACAGCAGAAGGTTTTCCATGGGATTTCCCCAATCCTCCTAAAATCATGGGAGATATTTGTCCATGGGAAGAGGAGAGCACAGAACCAACACATACAGACCTTACTTCACAAATTACCATCAAGGTAGATGTTTGGGAACCTGGAAATCAAGACAAACCAGAAGACTCACAAAAATGCATCTCACCTACCACACTGAGTGAGAGGAAAGACAGCACAAGAGCAAATGTATGTCCATGGGAAGGTGAGCCCCTGGAAAATCCTACAGTTACCAAGGTGCTGTCACAAGGACTGGAAAGGTCAGCAGATGTTTGTCCATGGGACACTGAGGAAACTAAATCAGGAAAGCCAGAGACCCCCAAAACATCAGAGAGTACAGTAAGACAAGACACAGCTAGAGGAAATGTATGCCCATGGGAGACAGAGGAAGGGTCTGTCAAAGCTGATGTATCAAAAGCATCAGAGAAGCTACAAGTGCAGAAAATTTCCAGAGAAGATGTCTGTCCATGGGAAACAGAAATCCCAAAAGGTCTGAAAGAGCAAGACACTGTTCAGGCAGAAAAGATTACAGCTACGAGAAAGGAAGATGGCATTAGAGATGATGTGTGTCCATGGGAAACAGAACAACCAAAAGTGCTCAGAAAACAAGATAGCAGCCGGGCAGACATTTGCCCATGGGAGAGTGAAGAACCAGGAGTCATCAAAAAGCAAGATAGCACAAGAGGAGCCCTTTGTCCCTGGGAATCTCAGGATCCAGGAACATCAACCGAGAGCAAGGTCATTATTCCCAAAACTGACAAAGATGAAGTCACACAGAATCTGGGTCCATGCGGTGTAGAAGAGACTCCAGCAGATACCAGCACAGAACAAACAGATGGGTCTAAATCAAACTTAGCTCTGGGCCGACGTGATGCTTTGTGTCCCTGGGAGGTGGTGAGGAGCTCCTCTGGTTCATTCACAGACAATACCTCTGTCATTTTTACATGGGAGGCAGAGAACATTCCAGAGGAAGATGAAGAGGACAATGCAGAGTCCGCTGCCGAGGCTCTCATTTTCCCACCTGACCTGTGACCTAATTTAGCCAGAATTTACACAAATTCTAACCCTTAGGTCAAAGGGAATGAGAACTCTAAAAACACATTTCCCCTGGCTGTCACACAACCACCAAAATGGTTTTATGAACCTCTCAAGTTCCACAGGTCAGAGGGCAGGGTCAGATCAGAAACAGATCTCCTGCAGCTGGCAAAGATAAAAGCCCTTTGTGATGGACAATCACTGGAAGATAAACTATGTAAACTAAGGAGCTGGACACTGAGGGAAGTTTTCATTTTACTGAAGCTCAATGATCCAGCATTGAACTACAAACAGACATTTCTTCAATGATGGGAGGTTATCTTATCAATTAGATGAAGTTCCTCTTCTTCCCGCTTCAACCCCCCCCATAAATTATTTTTGTTGTTGTATGCTTTTAGGTGACAATTCACGTATCTGCCATCCAGAATACTGGACATATGGCAGGGCTGAATATACTGTATCGCAAAATCTTAATTTAAGTCCACAGGACTTAACAGATGGAATTTCAATCGTAACCAGTACTTTGTTCTTACAGAAATTCTATTCAAAAAGTAGAAGTAAAAGTGTCAAGCAGCGCCACGACTATGAGTCGGGTGTTATTGAACTAAACTATGCATACCTGTGTCATGTCTAGCATTGATTGTTACTCAAACTTTTGATTCAATCATAACAGGAAAAGAATATCCCACTGTCTAAACAATGCCAAAACTGCATAAAGCTCCATAAACTGGCTTATACCCTAAAAACTATACCCTTAAAACGTGGAGGAGAATTGCATTAGCCTTTTATGCCTGAGCATTTAGAAAGTCGATGCTCTTTATGTGGATGCAGTTTCACTGGGACATTAGAAGCATGTTGTGAACATTCTTTTTAAATGTTTGGTACATGCAACTGTATGTGCACTGCATTCTCTGAAGACGTTTGTGTTGCAGCTACGCGGCCTGCTACCAGCTCTGACCTGCACTCAGCCTAAATGTTACAAAATAACCCAAGTTATGGAGGTGAGGCCACAGCTTCAGTGAAAAAGGTTTCGGTATACTACAAAGGTTTCTGTGCAAATAGTCACTGTGATAACTGCTAGAAATCTTTGGTAACACAGTCATAGTCAAATATTTTATGGACACTGAATGGAACTAGATCATAAGACATCATTCAATAGGAAACTATTATTATGCAGAGAAACAGTAAAACTGTAGAAATAGCCAGAGGTATTTTTTTTATTAAATCAACTTATGGTTTACTCAAAGATATATTATGTCTATTAGATATCTTTACTACTGGCTAAACAATTTCTTTACATCAAGCGTGGCCCTAAATTGAAATGTCTGACATTAAGTACAAGTTTCAGATGCAGGTAACTGCAACGTATTAAAAGCTGTTATTTTGGAAAACAACCTCTAGTGATTAAAACTTACAATATTAAAAATGTGTATATTAATGTTATAAAGTCGTGTCTATGCCAGAACTTATTCAGTGAACTCGGGTGTCAGTTGTTTGAAATGGTGATCGTTATCTGCACCTCTGCTGCCGTGTCATTAACGCTAGGTTTCCTTCTTTCACAGAAGCTCAGCTGATTCTTGCCAGTGAAGTGACCTGGTTTTGTGAGCATTGTTGCATGTTTGTGTGTTTTTGAATAAGCGTGCTGTAATTTGTTGTCAGGTAAAATGAAGCTATATTGTTGTAACACACCCCTCGTTTTGCAGAGAGAAATGGCCTGTGCTCTGTTTTCAGCTTTGTATGCATCTTCAATGAAAGATTATTCTGATTCACTGAAATCCACTGGTGTGAGGAAAAGCAGATGGGACACTTTATTTTTGTATTTCCTGAGGTCAACATGCAGTATTTCCATCACAGAAATAAACCATTCAATTTCTGCGCGATCTGTGCACTTTATTTTTTATACATGTGCACATTAAAGTAGCCACATGAAGAAATGTGTGAAACACAGCTGATGTTAAAGTCATAAAAAGAGCTGTTGTTATGATTCCAGATGGTAGTTTGGTTATTTTTTTGGGGCGTAAGAAGCAGATTTCTTGGCTCCAGGACACGGCAGTTTGTTCATCCTGAAACACACCTGCTGCGTCCTCTGTTTCAGCAGCCAAGAGCCTTTTCCAAACAGCCTCCAAAGGAAACGTGGTTTCTGCCAAAGTGGACAAACTAAACAGCCACAGCCAAATTTTAAACAGCATTTGGCCCCTGACTGGTGATAATGTCCTGTTTAATGAGAGCAGCGCCACCCTGTGGTCTATTTATACCACTGCACTGCTGCCGGTTTGGGAACTTCGTAGTTGAGGGCATCAGATTCTTCCCAGGGCTTCAGGTCCGGACCAGGAATCATCACAGTCTGAAAGAGTGAGAGGAGCACATGAGCCTCTTTTGTAAGCAGAGTGACAGTTTAGGAAAATGAATTAAAAACATAATCATATACAGAAACATATTTCAAATGCCATCTGTTCCACAACAGAACAACTGCACAAGGGCCCATTTGTGGTAAACTTTTGTTTTATCAAACTTATTTAATCCATTTTCTGTGTCAAGCAATTAACAGAGAAAATCGTGGCCAAGAATCCTTCTATCGTAACAGTACAGTTAAGGTGCAACCAACAATTTTATTAAAAAAACATGTTATTTTCAAACTAGTCGATCATTTTGGAGGCTGCAGTTTATGACCTCTGCCTCTTTTTCACTAGAAGATAAATACTGTCAGCCAGTGCAGAGCAGGTGGTCACCTTGATAACTGGGTCTTTGGCAGGAGCCCAGGACGGTACTATTTTTCCATGTAGCCTCCATCGGCCGTAGGGGTTAACAAGGTGTCTTTCTATGATCAGATACTCCAAGACATCCTTCGGATGCTCCTCACTGCCCACCATCAGCCTCCCGAAGCGGTCGTAGATGGCCAGAGTCTGTGGGACGTGCACACAGAAAAGAAGGGTCATTAAATGATCCAAGTCGTGACCTAACCCTAAAACAGCACTTTGAGGACCCAACTGCATTTGTTCTGCTTCAGCCCTTGTATTAACCACGGCTGAACAAACACAACTACACACTGGCTGTGTGGCTACGGTGTATGAACACAATGGTCCTACCTGTTTGGAGTGCATGCGCACAGTCACTTGGCCGTACAGGTTGCCTTTGCTGACCATTTCAGGGCAGCGGGCGTGGACCACTCTGGGCGGCTCCAGGGACTCGACGAACGTCCAGTGGATCGTCTTGTAGCGGTTCCCTCTCGTCATCTCCTGAGCACAGGACAGAGGAGCGAAGGGAGCAGCATCAGAGTGGCGTGTAAATGTGGGAAAAACCATTTACTGTATCTGAATTAGCTATTGTAGATGGAACTTACAGGGTAGCACCTTTCTGTTACCAAGGAGTGGAGTTTCTCCTTGTTAAACCTGCAAACACAACACAGAGGTTAATCTTCTCTCTCGACCGTAAAGCCACACACTTTTAAACCAGATGAGGCAAAGCTTTGTTTAGCAAAAGTATATTTTATTTCTCACACACAACTAGGATTGGAAGTAACACAAATCATCCCCCTGTAAAAAGGTTTGCTTTGGCAGACTGAAAAACACTTCAAATGAAGAAAAATTACTTTAACACTGTTTGGAAAATGTGCTGCCAGCAAAATTAATAAAAGAGCTCCAGTCAAAACAAATGGGTAAAACAAAACAGTCAAACCTCAAATGATAACGTTTTTTTGAAAAGACACTGCACAGAGGTGTGTTGGTGTGCAGCTGTTTGTCTCTTCAGTTGATGTTTATGTCACAAGCTTCAAGTATGTCATGATTAATTCTTTAACTCTGTTTCCATTTCATTTTTATCGATACACAAACTTTTCCATCTCAGACAAGTGTAAAAGCTTTGTTGCAATATTTCAAGCTTTCTCCAGTCAGGCTTTTCATGCACATAAAACCTGAGCTGAGCAGACAGCTGGTGGAATGAGAGACCCGAGCTCCTTTTCTTACTGTGCCAGGGCGTTGTGAGCCTCAACGAAGATTTCTTGTGCTTGCTGTGCAAAAGCCTTAGTTGAGAAGTCTGAGTCGTGGTCTTTGATTTTACGAATCCTGAAGACAAAATTTTTAGATTTTAAGATGTTTTGGATTTAACTCAGTGAAACAGCTGCAGTATGTGACACATTCATATCAGACTCAGATCCCTCTGCAGGATCCTGATCTGTCTGACAAGAAAAACCATCAGTAAAGTAACAACACAAGGAGCAGGATAACCAGTCTTACGCCAGCTGTGAGGCAGCGCTCTGTCGTATCTGTTCTGCTCGTTGTTTCAGGCCTTCTTTAGATAGCGTGGAAAGACGAGCATCGCCCTCTGGGGGGACGTAGGGGTCGAAGATTCCCGCTGGTAAAGTCAGCAAACACAACCGATCAGTCAGTGTGTGTACCCTCCAACCAGAGGGGAGTTTTCAAAATAGACACGGTTTCCATGCACATGTGCCGTCTGACTGATGGAGAGTAGCAACACAAAGACTCTTTTGGGAGCTGTAAACTGGTTTTCACATTTAAGGTTAAATGCACTGGTGCTGGATTTATCTCACTACTAATGCACCAGAGTCTTTATCCAGATGACTGCTGGATACTTATGTTTGTCCCAGTTACCAAAACGTTTTTTCTTAAAACGTGTGGATATTTACCAAAAGAAGATTAAAGATAAATCTAGCCTCAATATAAGCTATCCTAGATGTTTGAGCAACACAAATACATATAAAAGTTAAAAAAAAAAAAATTTTTTAAAGAGACAAAAAAGGAACTCAGTCCAACTATCAGGCTGCAATTAAATGACAAAATTCTTTAAATCAGATATTTTCATTTCATGACAGTTTTTGATAAACACACAGTCTGCACCAAAAAATGAAGGGCTCAACGCCGAGGTCTACAGATTCCTGGTAACTATGAAAAACTTTCCAATGGTGATCTTAATTCTACCAGCATGAGGCTGAATAGACGCTTTAAGCCTGTTCCTATTTTCTACCAGGGACAAAGATGCAAATACATCCAGGACTTTTATTTTTCCATCCCTGTCAGGGTCTGATATGCTGATTTACAAATACATAAGGTTTTCTGATAAACCAAAAACTATGACTCGCACTGTCATTATTTCCTATCTATGTAAGAAGCAGCATTTTTACCAGTGCAGGAGATGTTGATGGGCCTCTCCATGTACTCCTGTCTGACAACGACACCTGCCGCTCGGGCCTTAGCCTCCACGTTCTGTGTCTTACTCCCCTTTGACCCCACTGCTGGAGGGATGAAGAACCGCCTCTTTGTCCGGACCGGCAGGAAAAGCGGGACGGGTAACTGCATATCCAGAGACGCTTCAGCACTCTGAGAGGACGAGGGAAAACAGGTGTTTCACCATCAAGGTGTTTTCAAAATGAGTTAATCAGTCTATACTTACTGTCATGAATTTTACTTTTGGCAAACACATATGAAACTCAGACAGTTCTGTTCAAGAATCTGGAAATAACTGGGCAAATAACTTTTTTGGATGCTGGATGCAGCTGCTATGATGTCAGTCAAGAAAGTGAAGGTGAAAAAAGCCTGGCTTCTGCAACAGGACAATGTTCTACCATGTACCACATCAAGAAACACGAGCTGAAGCTTTTAAGTTCTCAATTACACTTTTTCCAAGTTCATGCAATATCAAGCACATAAGTATTTGAAGAAATGGAAATACCATACAGTAAACAGGGGCTGCATTTACTTTTTTGTTAGTGTACACTTTCAGATTTTGGTGACACTATAGAAATGTGTTAAATCTACTTTTATGTGTTTGACTGAATGAGATCATTTGCTGGTGGTGTTATATATATTACACATACATAGACAGGTGTTTCTAATACCTTCCCTCGTGCATGTAATGACAGAGAATAAGTCCAACAATTTGGCTATTACACTTATGCAATTATGTGGGAGTAAGACAGAACCATCGGTTCTGTACCGGAAACAAATTCCTTGTGTGTAACATACTTGGCCAATAAAGGTGATTATACTATTATTATTGTTATCCTTTATTTACAAGTGCAGAGTTCTGACATACCATTACTTCATTCTGACTAATTTCTAACATTTGATATATTTTGTTATTTTCCTGCATAAATACATCACTCCATATAGGCTAGTGATGATAATGTCCTACAGTAAGCTAAGCTAACGTTAGCCAAGCTAAGCTAACTCAAGTAGGGACTCTGTGCAAAATAACGTTTAAATAACCGGAAAAATAAACGAGTTAATCCCTTAACATAGTCACCATCTGCGTTTAATACGGCACCGTGTTTTTAAATGTCTCATCACCTTCAAACCGCTACATGTTGCTCTATGAAGGGCTACCAGCGTCCTCCTCACGCACGTAGCCATGTTCTCCGGATGTAGAAAACACTTCCGGTTGTCTCTTTAAAAATAAAATTTTCATCTCATTTCCGGCAGTAAATAAAAAATAAAGTGCTTATGGTACTGTAAGTCAAACATTTGACCTACTTAGTCAGAAATTTGGCATACAGTTTCACAATCACAATTTAAAGTTAAAAATAAATTCAAAAGTCAAAATTTTGACTTAATAGGCTATGCCAAAGTTACAAGCCCAAAGGTCACCATTTGGACATGCTAAAGGAAGCCTAAGGTTTAACTGGACTGTGCATATGCAGTTTCAGTGGGCCCACCTCTGTTTGGATATTTACTACGGTTTCAAAGTTTTCTATAAGAGCAAGTAAAATTATGATTGATTTGAAAAGCCTATTAGTGATGCAGTGGTCAGCATTATCATTTCATAGCAAGAAAGTCCTGGGTTTGAGTCCGGGGTCTTTCTGTGTGGTGTGTGGTGTTTGCATGTTCTGCCTGTGCCTGTGTGGGTTCTCTCTGGGTACTCCGACTTCCTCCCACAGTGCAAAGACATGCAGATTAAGTTTGGTGACTCTAAATTGCTCGTATGTGTGTGTGTGTGGTTGTTTGTCTACATGTCAGCCCCTTCATAGACTGGCCAACCTGTCCAGGTTGTGCTTTCCTTTGAGAATGTACTATTTGGCTTCACATATTATTCTTCAGCTACAGTTAATGAATATTTTGTAATTAATTTGATACCCTTGTTAGCTAAATTTCATATTCATAAATACAATTCTTTTAATCAAAAACCACATTTATTGGTATTTAAAATTAACCACCCTCCATACATTCAAACAATTTTATATTCTATGAAACAAAAAAATCTTCTAAAACTGTAAATCTATGTACTTTAATATTTTTGTGCAACTGTTTCTGCAGTTGTTACGATTTTACTTTTATTTCATTTTTTTAAATATTCTATCTCAGCACCTGGCCCTGTTCGTTGTTAATGTTTCAATAAAGCATTAACAAAAAAAAACAAAAAAAAAGAGAGCGAGAGAGAGAGAGAGAGACAGAGTTGGTGGGGCTGGACGGGTAGGGAGGTATAGCTGTCAGTGCTTAGAGGGTTTCAGTTGATGTTCCTGGGCCGCAAGTTTCCGCTGTCATTCGCCCACAGAGTCATTACCCGTTGTCCATCTTTACTGTTGGGGCCCATTTTGGTTAGATCTGTACTAATAAAACTCAGAGTCTTTACACACAGCACCGTCTTCGTTAGCGCAGCCGGCAAACATACAGCAACCATGCCCGAAAGGAGGCCCTTTGTACGGTTACCAACTGACGTTTACCCCGTCAACTATCGGTTATGTCTGAAGCCTGACCTGATCGACTTCACTTTTGAGGGCAAGTTGGAGGCGATGGTGGAGGTATGTTGTAACACAGCAGCTGGCTACATATGTGTTGGGTTTGTTTGTGCACGGTGGCTATCCCATTATGTAATCTGACCAGCTAGCGCTCCCAGCTAGTTAATTTACTGTGTTCCACTGATTGTTAGCTATTTGCCTTACAGCAGTAACTGATCGTGCTAGTTAACGTTAGCTGATAGTTGCTAAAGCTAACTAGGTTAGCTAACAGTTTCTGAGGCGCTCATACTAGCTGGAGACCAATGAGTGAAAAATAACGACTGGATGTTTCCGTGACTGGTCGCACTGTAACTGAAGTCGGCGAACGCAACAGTACCGTAAATAGCAACAGACCTGCAGTCTCATGTTAGCCAGCTTAGCCAGCCGTCTCATACAGTGGACGTTAGCCTGCTAGCAACGCTTAGCAATGCGCTTAATGCGTTTCACGAGCCGTTTGATGTATGTCAACATTACCCCCTTGTAACATCAGTGCATTACTATTACAATAGTAGTTAATCGAATATAGATTTTTGAATTTGGTCATCAGCCAGCTAACGCTCACCAATGTTTGCTAAATCATGGCAACATCATGTCGCCCCCTCCCACCATCTGCCTCACTCACTCACTTACTCCGGTATATACAGTGGTGGAGATTACATTACGTAGATTTACTCAGGTACTGCACTTAAGTACAGCTTCGAGGTACTTCTACTTTATTAGAGCACATTCATTTTCTGATATTTTATACTTTACTGAATTTCGGCGGAAAAGATTGTACTTTTTACTGCACTACTTTATTTGCTAACTTTAGGCAACTTTAAAGAATCAGATCAATAAAACAAAATGTAGTTTAATCATAGAGCTTTATTGATCCTTGGTAGGAGAACCACAGGCTCCCCAGCAGCAAGCGAAATGCTTCAACATTGAATGCATAACTAAAGTGATGAACACAATAATGCACCAATAATTATCGGCCAGAATGTATATTAATGTGAAATGTGTCATTTTGCATAATGGGTACTTTTACTTTTGGTACTTCAAATATATTTTAAAGCTACACTTGTACTTTTACTCAAGTAAAATTTTGAACACAAGCCTTTTGCTAGAGTATATTTATACTGTGGTATTTGTTCTTCTGCTTAAGTAGAGGATCAGAGTACTTCTGCCCCTATAAATATGTTTAAACTGCCAAACAATGACATGCAGAGAGTGAATTTGCATCATCTCTCATTATCAGAGCAGCTTAGTTAAAGTTGAACTACACTTTGGGTACATCTGCGATTCCTAACATTAGCTTTCAGGTGCCCGAACAGGTTGGTGCATCAGTCAGGCTCCTTAAGGCTTTCTGTTGAAGGGGATGTAGATAATAGATACGGACATAAACCAAACATACCAGTTAAAGGTTACTATGTATTCATGTCAGAAACAGAACTTGTGCTTACAGTGTGTACGTTGCACCATTGCGTCTGCACCTGCTAGCTGAGCATCCTGTCACCTGCGTCTGGTTGTAAACACTCTGTCATCATATTTTATCAGAACAAGACCGTGGCATTGTGTGTGGGTTATGCAAGTCTGCAGATAACAGCTTTGCTTTGTTTATATGACACTTTTCACCAACAGAATAAAAATGGATTCGCTATCAACAGCACTAATAGATGAGCAATAAAAAGATGACACAAAACCCAAAGAATATGAGTAAAATGTGAAATACTTTATAAGTAATGAAACAGTATTTTGCCTGACCAACAGTCCAAATCCAAACGTACAGTTCACACTGATAACAAACTAGGGGTGTGACAATGCACCTATCTCATGAGACGAGATGATATTTTAACACAATTTTTAAGAAATCTTTAAGACAAAATATATGACTGGAAAATAGTCTTTTATTCAACTGAAAGTCACAAAATGCAAAACAATGCAGGTGCATTTTGAAACGTGATGAATGTCAGTTCAGTTCTACTGTCAAAGCATGAATTATCATATGAGGTAAAAGACAATATCCAAGCACTGTAAAAGGTTTTGCCACAAACTCAACTCACTGGCTTCTCTCCTGTGTGATTTCACATGAGTTTCTTCAGCCCTTAAAACTGCATATGAACTATGCATCAGCTTCAGACTGAGTTTCAAAGGTGTGAAAAACTCGGCCTCTTCATTCATTTCTGTGAGGTTGCGGTTCTGTTATGTACTGATATAGCAAGGCAGCTTTTACATCAATGAGAAGTATCATCACGTTTTAATATTGTGAGAGCTCATGGCACGAGACCCTGTCACATTCCTGTATCAAACAAACATTTTACTAAAAGAAGTTGCCAGCAAATTTCAAAACACCACCTACTAGTCCAACAAATCTATCAGGAACTCATAAAGTATTATGATGAAAATGGTTAAAAGAAGACCTATGCAAATAGTATTCATAAAATGTTCAAATAAGTTTTGAAAATGCACAT